CAGTTCCCTTTTTTTAATAAATGAAGAAACTAAAACCCAGAGAGATTAAGCAGAGCTATGATTTGACCCCAAGTTTACTGGCTCCAAAACAAACATTATTTCTAATACATCCATGCTTTTTATTTTCATCAATACAAGATCACTTCCAGACTTACTCAGAAGAATCTATCCACAATGGTGTAAGTGAAAAGATTGTGTAATTGAAAAACCAATATTGAAAATGTAAGCAGTATAAAAACAATGGTAATAAAAAACTCATTTAAAAAACACACTGTTGAACAAATAGAACAAATACAGAGTTTCTTCTCACAGAATGTTGCATACATTATGAAATTATCGTTATTGGATATTTTGGCTTATCTTTTAGCTCAGAGGGTTGTTTTGAGGCTCAGATGAATGTAAAGCACTTGACAAACCTTAAAGCCTTGTATACATATGCTCTGGTTTTTGCTACTTCACACATAGCACTTTGTTTTGCAACATACTAATGAATGTACATAATGGTGTGTATATCTTAACCTCCTGCTGGACAGGAAATTCCATGATAGCAGGAATCATATTTAATCTAGATTGTGGATCTCCCACAGTTGGTAGCACAGAGTTCTGTAATATATAGGCTCTGAATGTCAAGGATACATTCAGACTTCTAAGATAATAGCGTTCTGAGAAATAGTTGACTTCCTCTGGAAGTTCCTAAGTAAATGTAATGTCTTTTTCTACAGTCTTGTCTCAAAGAAAATGAACAGATTGTATACTCACTTAAAATTCTTTTTGAGCTTTATCAATTTTATGATGGTCCACAGTTTAAACTTTATGAAGAACATTTGGAACACAAAATATTTCATATCTCCAACGCTTTGCTTACCTAGAACACAGCTAAAAACTAGGAAGTAACATTCTGTACCTCAATCCAAAAAAAGAAAACTCCAAAAAACCTAATTAGTTTTCCTTTCCAACCAAAGTATTCTAAAAATAATTGGGGTATCTAGTTTCTTAGACTATAGTAGATTCAAAAGTAGTAGATTAAAAGAAGTGAATATTTCACAGTAGGTACTACCAGTCAGTAGAATAACCACATTTACAGCAAAAGTAGAAGAAGAAAAGTTATAAGGTGCAGGCAAAATAATACAAGTGAATAAAGACTTCTGATACTTCATACTATAAGGTAAATCAACCCTATTCACTTGAGTAGATTGAGAATATAATTTTATTACAGCTTAATAGTTACTGATATTCAAAATAATGACTGTATGCATCAAGAATTGAGGGAGAATTAAGATGTCATATGGTCCAACCCATACCTAAGAATCCTTCCTACAGCATCCCTGACAAGTAGTTGTCTGGCCTTTGTATGCTGTGTTCAAATGAGGGGAAAATCTACTACTTTCTAAGGCTCCTCTTGGTTACCTCTGGATGTTAAGAAATTTGTCCTTGTATTCAACATTCATCTGTGTTTTCTGTGATTTCCACATCTTTTCTTCTTCTTTATGCCCTCTGGTGCTAAATAGAAAAAACGTAAACCATCTTTGACATAGAAGTCTTAGAATGTTTACAGACAGCTACTGTTTTTCCCTTAAGCATTTTCTTCTCCTACCTAAATATCTCTACTTCCTTTAACCAATACTTTTATGGTATAATTTAAAGGTTTTTCCACATCCTAGTCAGCTTTCTTCATACAATCTTCACTTAGTCAAGTCTCTTGGAAATATTATATCCAGAATTTAATGGAGTACTCAAGATTTTGTCTAGCTAGCACTAAATAGAGTGAGACTATAACTACCTTTGTTTCAGACAGTATACAGTCTAGGATTGTGTTACGAGTTTTTTGGCAGTCTTGTCGCTGTACCTTTAGAAGTTTTTGTTTTATTCCATATGAACCAGATTTCTTATAAGCTTGTACTTTTATAGCTAATTTTTTTAAGCTCTCTGCAGGATTTTATGTTTATTCTTATAAAATTTAATCTTGTTAGTTTTGACATTGCAGCTTGCTTAGGTCTTTTAAAATCAGTTTCTGAAACTTGTTGGGTTTTTGTTTTTGTTGGGATTTTTTAGTCCCTCCAACAACTGTTATTTGCCCTTTTTTTAAACCAATTTGATAGGTGTAAGGTAGAACCTCAGAGTTGTTTTAGATCATTTTTTCATGTAGTTTTTTTATATCTTTGATTTCTTCCCTTGAAAACTGCCTATTCATATCATTTAATCATTTATTTATTGGGGAAATGGATCTTTATAAATTTGAATCTGTTCCTTAAGTAGTATAGATATGAAACCTTTATCAGAAAATATATTTGTCACTTAACGTCTTTGGGCCTCTATTTTCTCATCTGTAAAAGGAATCAGTTAAACTCTTGCCTCCACTCTTTTAACTTTATGATCCCATGACTAGATGACCTCTAGGATCTCAACCAATTTTAATACCCCAACCCAGGGGTGAAGAATCCGTGGCCTTGAGGCCACCTGTGGTTTTTTAGGTCCTTGGATGCAGCCTTTTGAGTGTTCTACAGAACAGATCCTTTTATTAAGGAGATTTATTCTGTGAAGTTTGGATTCAGTCAAATGGCTGTACTTGAGGACCTAGAGGGCCAAATGCCAGGTTCCCCACCCCTGCTCTAGTCAAAGGAAAAAATGTAAACTTAAAAAAACGTAAACTTTAAAAAATTAAACAATTCAGCTACTCTGTAGAACATTCTTAGTGGGTGTCAGTTATAGATATGTATGCATACAAGATGTTCTAAGAGTTTTTGTGCAGTTTTAAACTGTAATAGCCTAAACCTCTATTCAGTTTCGGCTATTGGAGTCTAAAACTGCACTAAGACTTTTGGGACACATTGTATAATAAATAAGTATATCTAAAAAATAACTTGCATTCTAATAGTGCTTTCCTCCATAACCTATGAGGTAGGTAGTACAAGTTTCAATGTATCTATTTTAGAGTCAAAGGAAACATGATTATAGAGGTTATGACTTCCTTAGTCATGTTAACTAAGTGTCAAAGCAGACACAGGCTTTTTCTGACTCCAGGTTTAGTACTCTGTTGCACTATTTTAGTGTACTTATAAGGGCACATTTAACATTAAGTATTTGTAATGTATAGTCATTTAAGTTCAGTTGTTAAATGCAAAAATCTTATTTACTGTCATGATGGAATATGCATTTGTTTGAAGTGCTTTCTTATAATGATCACACAGGTACTAAAATGGTGCCCATAACCATACATTGTCTTAGGTTTTTTATTTTTTTAACATTATAAAATTAATATAAGCACATACCTTTCCAAGAAAAATGGATTTTTATAACTCACTAATTTTAACATGTTGAATAGTCTTTAAAATTTATCTTTGTTAAAAGGGGCTCATTATTTTAGTGATCCATATAACAGTTGAGCAGCTTTTTCCATTTTATAATCTAGACCTTTTTCATTAGATCAGGAAAGTGTTTAAAACACTGAGATTTTATTTGCATAAAGCAGAATGTTAGAGTGGTATGTCAACTACATTATAATTACGTTATAATACAAAGTCCTCAGTTTTCATCTTAATATGCTCCTGGTAACAACATCAGGAATTATATCATTGTAAAACAGATTCTCTTTTTCAGTGGGAACAATATTATAATGGGGAGCAGAGAGATGTTTGTGTTCCTGACTTGAAGGATCCATATCAAAAGACTGAAGTGGTCAGCATTACAAAAAAGAAAGATAAAACAATTTTAAACCTTGAACAATTAAGAGTAGTAGAATTATATATTAAGTACTACAAAATGGATGTAGTAAAGTATTGTTGTAGAAAGTGAGGAAATAAGTATTGATTAGTTATATTATACTATGTGCTAGGCACTGGGCTAAGCATTTTAATAAATATTCTCTCATTTGATCCTCACAACAGCACTGGGAGATGGGTGCTGTTACTCTCCTTATTTAACATTTGAGGAAATTGAGGCAGACAAAGATTAAATGACTTGCCCAGGGTCACACTTTGAGAATCTGAGGCCCGATTTTAATTCAGGTCTTCCTGACTCCAGGACCAGTGTTGTATTCAGCCTCCTAGCTACCACTAATACTGTGGGCTTCAATAAAAATAGTATATATACCACATATAGAAAGTAGAACTTTGCCGTTTAAAATTTGGACTCATCTAAGACTAATAGTCTAGACATAATAATTACTCAATAATATTGCCCGCTTTCGTAGAATTTAGAGGAATTTAGCGGGATAAATTGAAGATTGCCCATGTATCTTTTCTTCTAAAAAAAAACCTATAATTGAAAATTGATCCTTTCTTTTTCTCAGTATGTTTTCTGTCGCAAGTACAAATATTTCAAAATCATTCGATAGGCATTTGTACTTAGTGTTAATTTCTTTCTTTCTCTTCCTCCTTCTTTCTTCTAACAAATAAATATAATCATAGTCTCTAAAAGCTTGAATGCCTTATTAAGGACATTAAGTTGTGAAGATTTTGAAAGATTTTCCCAAATATTGTGCTCTTGTTCCTCTTTTCTTTACTATTTTTCCCTGTCCTCTACATCTCTGACTTTAAACACAAGTCTTCCCTTCTTCCCAGAGGTCACCTACATAAAAAATACATAGTGCATCAGAGGCTGCTTTGAATAAATGAATAAGTTAGGAAAGAATAACTGAAGATTGATTTTATGTGGTTAAATAAAATCAAATTACCTTCCTTTGTGATAGGAAGTGTCAGTGAACTGATTTATATATGAAGTATGCCTATTTTACTTTTGTACAGTTCTCCATACTAATTGTGTAATAATTTTATAGTACCTGCTTGTAGAACTTTCTCTTTATTCCTCTTCTTGCTTCTGAATCACCACCTATTTCCAATAGTTAGTTCTGTGCTGAGCAAGCCATTAAATGATAGGTAAAAATTTCTAGAAACAGAAGAGTGATATGTTGTTGAATAAATGTAGTGACAAAAAGTGAAACATAAAATGCCTGCGTTTTAAAACTTTTATTCAATCTTTTTTTTCTTTCTGAAAAATAATAGGGGATGGAGTATTAGATCTCTCTACAAAGAAAACCAGCACAAGATCCGAAGAGTCCTCAACATGTGATCCATCTTCTGAAAATTCTATGTCTGGGTAAGCCACATCTAGGAAATAATTATTAGTTGATGCAAAAATATATCTTTGAAGACAGAACTTTTATGATATGTTGAGTATACTTATACACATTGGTGTATACATCGTTTTTCTTCAGAATTTTTACCACTCATAAATGTCTATATCACACCTTTCATTTGTCTTTTTTCTTTCTTTCTTTTTTTTTTTAACTCTTTCTGTTAAAGAAAAGTTATCAGAACAATCACCAAACTTTAGTTCATGTTGCTAAAATGCGAGTTTAATCATAGAATGCAAACTAAGAAGCAGGACTGCAAAAGATAATTTCAGTTACTTCAAGAATTTATTTAGGAAACATTTTGAGCAGAACATTTAACTTCAATACTTAAATTTTTAAAATAGCATGAACAAGTTTAAAAGTACTGTATTTAATAATTCTTAATGAAAAAAATAACTCATAGTATTGATTTTTATTCTTCCTTAGGTGTATGATGGTGGCAAACTGCTTGATATATACTCAGCAGTGACCATGAAAAGTTATTTTATGTGTCAAAAGCTACCATTAAGTTAATTTCAACAAATAACTATTAATGAAATGCTGTTCTATTAGATTTTGTTATAATTCGGGTATCTTCCCATTTTATTAGCTTTGGCAGGACCCTTTTGTCACCTATACATATTAAAGAACAATTTGTTTCACCTAAGAATATCAAGCATTTTTGAATCATGAGATGCGTTAAACCTTTTGTACTAATTTGAAGTTTTACAATGATACATTAGAAGGAAAATAAATAGATATTAAAAATATCTAAAACTGAGTTTTATTATCCAAGTATATGGTTATGGTTAAGTATAGAATTTTAAGTTTTTAGATATAGAAAACTTAGTCTTGTGGAAGTGTGGGATGTTTGTGTTTGGTAATGTTCCTATAAATTTCCTATAAAGGGGTTGACTCTTTTATTACTTGTTTAGCGGTAACGTCACGTTTCTACTAACAAAAGCTCCTTTAGGATTTGGGTATTTTTAATAATGGAATGCTAATTGTATAAATTATATCAATGTTGCTCTGCAAGCATCTATCAGAGGGAATAGCAACAACATGAGAATATTATGTATTACTGAGTTAGGACTTTAAGTTCTTGGAAGGTCTGCCCGTAGAGACCACTGTATGATTGACACATTGTCCTACCAGGACTATAGCATTTGTTAAGATAAGGAGTAACTACCACGTCTCAAAGACTTTAAAGTGTCAGAAGCAGTGATGTTACCTAAGCAAGGAGTATAATAAAGGAGTGGACCCTCCCCTTCCATAGCTGTGTGAGAGTCTCTCATGCATCAGTTTACCATCGTTTCATTCCATCCATCCAGGAGACTACACAGAGACAGAGAGGACTATGTGGAAAGAAGTGCTGAGTTTGCAGATGGTTTGCTCTCAAAAGCTTTGAAAGACATTCAGTCTGGAGCATTGGACATAAATAAAGCAGGCATACTTTATGGCATACCTCAAAAAACTTTACTTCTCCACTTAGAAGCCTTACCAGCAGGAAAGCCTGCATCTTTTAAAAACAAAACTCGAGATTTCAATGATAGTTACTCATATAAAGACAGTAAAGAAACTTGTGCAGTGCTGCAAAAAGTAGCCTTATGGGCAAGAGCTCAAGCAGAGCGCACAGAAAAAAGTAAACTCAATCTACTTGAAACCTCAGAATTAAAATTCCCAACAGCTTCCAGTTACCTCCACCAGTTAACTCTCCAGAGAATGGTCACTCAATTTAAAGAAAAAAATGAAAGCCTTCAATATGAAACTTCAAGTCCTACTGTACAGTTAAAAATTCCTCAGCTACGAGTAAGTTCTGTTTCAAAACCACAACCTGATGGTTCTGGTCTTCTGGATGTTATGTATCAAGTTTCCAAAACCTCTTCAGTCTTAGAAGGATCAGCTCTTCAAAAACTGAAAAATATACTCCCTAAACAGAACAAAATAGAATGTTCTGGGCCTGTAACTCATTCAAATGTTGACTCTTACTTTCTACATGGGGACCTCTCTCCTTTGTGTCTTAATTCTAAAAATGGGACAGTTGATGGAAACTCTGAAAATACAGAAGATGGATTGGATCGCAAAGATAATAAGCAGCCTAGGAAAAAACGTGGCCGCTATCGGCAGTATGATCATGAAATAATGGAAGAGGCTATTGCAATGGTAATGAGTGGAAAAATGAGTGTTTCCAAAGCACAAGGGATTTATGGGGTACCTCACAGCACTTTAGAATACAAGGTAAAGGAAAGATCTGGAACGCTGAAGACTCCGCCGAAGAAGAAACTCCGATTACCGGACACTGGGTTATTTAATATGACAGATTCAGGGACTGGCGGCTGCAAAAATAGCAGCAAGCCTGTGTAGATTACTTGTTAGCAAAATGGTGTGTGTGTGCGCGCGCGCGCGTGTGTGTGTGTGTGTGTATGTGTGCGCACAGGTATGTATGTGTGTATGTCTGTATACACGTGTGGGAATTACATATGCTCACTTTGACAGGAGACATGAAATTTTACAGTTCAAAAACCACATACATGCCTTTTTGAAAAAAAAGTTTTATTCAGGGTTTTCACTGTGGACAGAATTATAGAGTTCCTCACTTAATTCTGATAGTTTCTATTTAATCCTTGTATAAATAGGTGAAAAAAAAATTCAGGTTTTCTTTAGTAGTCAATAGCATAAAACGTTGTGGAAAAACAAGTAAATGTCATGTGAAGCATTATTTTTTATTGGTGAAGGACCACCCCAGCCATTCAGTTAAACCATCTTATTATGGAAATAAATGATTAATGGTTTATAAACATTTTACATAACAATATTTACAGTTATTGTAAGCACCTCAAGTAAATCAAAGGAAATTTTTTTAAAAAGAAAAAACTTCTATCCATACAAGGAAAAATGGATGCATGCAGTATTAGTACACTACAGTACATTCTGTAGAACACAAAATACATTCAAAGCATCCATTAAAAATATAAAAGAAAATTTAAATGTATGTTTTAATAGGCAAAACAGGACATTTATAATTTACTGTTGGTTTAGCAAGAAATTGGGGTTTGCAAAATATATACTTAAAAGAACTGACAAATATAGTTAACCCCAAGCAGTTCTAGGATCCTTTTAATATAAGATGGAATACTAAGAACATATAGTAATTTAATTATTAAAATAACTTAATTTTCTTTTTAGTTTGAAAAATAAGCTAACTTGTAAGGTTAGAGAAGAAAGGTTGAATGCAACTTAGAGCATGTTTATAATGTGCAGAGAAGTTTGAGAATGGTAATTTTTGGTTTAAACGTGCTGGTTAGTTGATGTTATGACTACTTTTAAATTTAATTTAAGGATTGTGTCACACTCCTACTATTGAAAAACCTCACTGTAACTTTAAATGTATTTGCTGCTGTGACATTTCAAAACATTTTCAGTTTATCAAAATGAATAACAGATTTTCATTTTGGTGGGCGATACATTTTCATTTTGCTAATAACCAAATTTGCAGTTTGTTCAGGGTCTTGAATAGAATTACAGATATTAAACACTGAAGCTGTTTTGAACTTTCATTAATGTAAACTCCTAATTAATTGGGTAGTTAGAAGTTGGGTAGTACATTTTACCTTTTATTAGATACTAGGAGAGACCAATTACTTTCATATAGCAGTTTAAAAAAAAAAGTATCCATTTTGGATTTTAAAGGAATATGCAGTTTGGGTAATGTTATAAAAGCAAATCCCTGCATGAAAAGTAGAGATTTTCTTATATAACTTCAGTCCTGAACTAATGTCCTTTTTCTGTGTTAAGATTCAGGTTTAGATGACTTTTCTAATACAGTTTTCCTAAGTCCAAAAGCAGGGCTTTTAAGTGACTTTTAAAGAAAAGTACTGACTCAAATACTTGGGTTTTTACACTTGTGTTTGTGAAGGTTAATGCTCACATGTATAATAATACTTGAGTATTCGATCATTAACCTTAAAAACTGCTCATATATTTTAAAGAAACAAATAAGAAAATAAATGGCACAACCAAGTTGTTAGTTATTTGGTCTCTTAGGTCTATATTGAACCCTCTTCAACTATTGTTACCTATAGAATAGGTAATAGGATATGAATCCTTACATACTTTTTTAAAGGAAATGCTATACCTAATAGATTACAAAACAGCAGATGTCAGGGTCATCTTTCTTTTTAAAGAATTAAGCCATATTTTGTGAGGGCCAGAATGATGATCGATTATTTAATATATCCCCTCCCATTGCAAAAACAAGTTGAAAGTAAAATAAAAGTTTCAATTTTGTGACCTCTTTATATAGAATTTTACTTGCAAAACTTTGGGGACTTGAATGCGTTGCCTAATATTTATATTGTACTGACCTTTTTTATTCCTCACACTATATTTACATTAAATAAATTGATTGAGAAGTTTATAGTAAAGGGAAGAGATGCAGTACACTTTTTATATCATTTAAAAGATGACCTGACCAAAAATTGACAGGATTCATAAAATCAGGGATCATTTTACTATTGACTTCACAGTGATCAGTAGTTTTATAGGTAATATTATAGTTAATTTGCAGCATTTTAGTACTTGCATTATTTATTTTTGGTCAGAAATAGTATATTAAAATATTTTTTGATAGTCTATAGATAATGATCAACCCATAACCGTTTTAAAAGAAGCAAAATGTGTTTGTTTCTGATTATTGGGCTAACCTCTGATTTTACAAACAAGGAAAGGCAGGGAAATTTATGGGTTCCCCTTCTCCCCAGTGTATTCCATTAAAATGTTCTTTATGTTATTTACGTTTGAACTACTTTATAATTCAGTTACCAGTCACTACTTAATTAATTGACAATTTTCTGAAAAATCCAGTTTCAGCAGACCTTTAAATGAAGGTGAAAGCAACCCCTATTGTGCTTTCTACTTATTTGAATGTTTCTCAAGTATTTTATATTAAAAAAAAAAAACAAAAACAAAAAACAGTGCCTCTGTTTTTAGAACTACTGCTCAGTAAAGTTGTTTAAACCATTTCTGGTAGCTAATGACAATTTTATATTAAATTGTATACTAACTTTAGTGAGACTGATTTTTTTTAGTTGTTTACAGTACAAATACTTGTATTTGTTTTTTAATTGCAGTATTTCCATTGTCGCAGTAATTTAGTAAAACTCTGTGGCTGCCTTGATTTTGACAGATTTTGTTAATATAAACTGATTTTTAGGCAATTAGTTATATTTATGCATAAATCAATTGCACTATAATTCATGAATTATTTATTACAATATTTTCTAATGAATTCCATGTATCTGTCTTGTGTTGTAAATGTACTGTAATTCTGTTCCTTCTTTGTGTTGTTATATACCTAAATCTGATTGTATGAATTTTAATTGTTCAGTTAACGTGTTTCTAGGTTGTAATTTGTAGTAAAGCACTTCAATGCTTTTGCACATAAATTTACAACACTGGTGTGTGATTGATTTGCTCATTCAGTAAAAAAGAAGAGAAAAAATGACTACATTGTTGTATTTGACTCACTTCTAGGGAACAGATTTACTAAAGCTAAATAAAAATAAGTTTACTTAATAGAAATATTTCAATAATAACTTGTAGTATACAGAATAAATAGTAACAATAAATAAAGGTTATTAAATGTTTTTGTTGATAACTCAAAAAGAATATCTCTAGTAAAAATTCATGTACCAAAAGAAAGCCCCAAAAAACTAATATAGAAGGAGTTTGTATGGAAAACTATTTGGTAGTATTTCACATTATCATTTAGGAATATATTCTTTCCTTTAAGTTTTCATGTTTCTCATACTAGTTTCTTTGAGATTCCAGTATCAAAGGTACTGTAAAAAGAAGAGTAATATAAATAAGCAATTTATACTGTTCCATATATTTTAAGTGCATTTTTAAAGGGAAGATTAAACAAGAAAGCATCCATTTTTTTAACTGTATAGTTTGCCTTTGAAAAGCTGAAAAAGAGTTTGTTACATGAACATCTTTAAATATTTGAATATTCTTTAAGTGAAATAAAAAGCCTGTTTTTATCTTCTACTTGATTTTATAGCATTTGGCCATTTCAAAAACTAGTACCCCAGAAGACATTAAATGAATTCATTGAAATCTAATATATTTTCTTGGAAAGCATGCAGTCAGTTCTCTGCATTCATCCGTTAGCTATGTTTTATATACTCTGTGTGTATACATATACATATATATACACAGATGTGTATATATATACACATACATATATACATTTCTTACACATGTAAACACACAAAATTATTAAACTATGAATTAATGTACATCTTCAGTTTTGCTAACTTTCGAAATATAAAGCCACTTTTCTTAAAGCATAGAAAAATATTAGAAATCATATATCCAGAGTTACTATTTTAATTTTCTTTTCCATCTTCTCCTATGTATATCATTACATATAGTTGTCTGTTAATGAAACAGGCGACAGTGCCATTATTACAAACTACACAGTTTGATGTTTATCCCTAATTATTTTTAAACAGGTCAAGTTCCCCAGTATCAAATTATTTCCCCCAAGGAAACTGGAAATTTCAGTGTATTTACTTACTTATGTTGTGATTCTTTCTACTTTGATATCAATTTGTTATAAATAGTATAATAAATTCACACCAGCATGAAAAGGAATTTAGTGAGTACTAAAAGTTGATTTATTTTTTTAAAAAGACATTTCCTAAATTTGTTGAAGCACATTTTTTCTATATTTATAACAAAAATAAAATGTACTTTAGATGAACTATTCCAATCTACATGTATCTGTTAGGCATGATGTGGGGTATTTGTAATGGGCAAATAATAAACGTTTACATTTAATGTCATTTTAATACACAATAAATATGTGTAATTATACTTAGACATATTCACGATGTCCCTCAATAGAAACATACACCTAAATATTAAACTTAAGAATATCTTTTAATTTATCAGCAAAACTGCAGCTTAATTAAAAGTTCCACAAAATGGGCTTTAAAAAAAAATAAGCTATCTAGTATAAATGAAAGGCTAGTTTCATGTTCAGAGTTTGGTGATATGTTTAACATAAATACATACTTTTCTGAAACAGAATTCTTTTAATATATTTTGTTCTTCTTGCTACTGGTACTGGGTGAAAAATTATACACATAGACATCTTTATTAGTTGCTATACAACACTCAATCTTATGCTTAATTGAAGATAGATTTTTATTAGTTTCTACCATGAACATTTTTCCAGCATTTCTAATTAAATAATTATAGGTAAGTAATATATTTAGTTTTAAGTAACTTTCTTTCAGTTCAAAAAGTTGTTTAATAAAAATATTTTTAAATACCTTCAAAATTTTATTAGGTAAGAAATCTTGACTTAACCTTAGGTGAGAAAATCTGTGAGTTTTTAAAAATCCAAATTACATAAATATTTACTTGTAGACTTCTATTTTCACTAATATTTTATTAATGTTTATTTTAAAGAAAGATAATGTTCTTCTGCATATCTTTCCTTAAGTGTACAAAAAGAATATGGCCCAATAATAGATTATTAAAATAATTTTAAAATGTCTACCTCACAAAATATTATAAAGTCATGATAAAGCATTTACCATTAAGGGCTGTAAAATAATTGATATGTTTGAGAAATGTAGTATTTTTCAAATACTAATATTATGTGGAGTTATTAATTTTTCTTTTAAAATATGAGTTTGTCATTAAATAATCTCTTGCCATATTACTTTATTAGTTATTATCAGGTGTCATTTACACTGATATATATTTCTAAAATAAGTGAAAAGGTTACCATATTGCAGATCTTGTAGTATTGGGGTTTTGAAACCCAAAAAACCCGAAAAAGATTTCTCATTATTAATTTTAAGATTGTATAGTCCCATATACTTTTGGTAATTTTACTGTCATTTATTATTTTTGTTTGATTTTTATTTTTAGTTCAACTCTTGATGCAAAATCAGAGGAAGCTACTAAAATGGAAAAAGGAAAGTCAACATTAAACAAAGTTTTGGAATCATTGTGCACATATCACCAGCAACAAATTTTAACTATGTTGAAATTTCTAATTCAAGAGCAAAATGCTTCTTCACTTTGTAGTTGCAATTCATCACGTGCTCTGTCTTCAGAATCTCAAAAATCCCTCATTGAAGATGATTTGCATGGTCTGTTCTGTAGTTGTGGTGAATATAGGCTGACAGAAAGAGGGTGTTTACAGAATGAAAGACAAAGCTCTGGCTTAGCACCCCTTTCAGTGTGTATTAAAGATTTTCGTTGCTTATCTTGCCAAACTGTAGCTATTGAGCACATTAAGACAGTAGTTAGTAGAGAAATTGCCAACAATTACAATCCCTACAGGTGCTGTTCTAGACTATTACAAAACTGTAACAATCACTCTACAAGATCAACCTTTTATACTCCTCTTTCTTTACCTGAAGTATGTGATCTGTCAATCAATATTAAAGATACTAACAGATCTCGGAGTCCTTCACCACCACCATTATCACCCATACAGACTGAAGGATTTGAAAAACTTAAAGATTCAATCTCAGGCATTTCAGCTTTAGAAAACAAACTTGAAGCAATTATCAATCAGCCTCCATCTCTCATACCAGCAGAAGACAACAATAGCAATTGTGAACATGAAGGTAAAATACGCAAAGCAAACACATCTGATAATTTAGATGACTCTTCACTCATAGCAGAAGAAAGCAGTCATTTTACGAATCATGAAAAAATTGATAAAGGTGAGAGTACTACAATTTTTCAAGATTTAATGGAGCGAATTAATGAAAAGTTAAAATCAATTGAAACTACAGATATAACAAGCCTTGTAAAAGTATCCAGTAGTGACAGTAATACTGAAAATGATAACCTAAGATTAGGTGATTTAATAACATCTCTTTTGCATAATGCAAAGGCTAGTGATTATAGTTTTATGGAGCTATTGAGTCAACATGATAAAAAAGTAGAAAATAAAATTATACAGACAAGATTCCGAAAGCGTCAGGAAACCTTGTTTGCAATGCATAATTCTCCTGATTCACCTTTGTTTAGAAGGCAGTCTTTACAAATAAAGAGAGAAATTGCTAGCCTTGATGAAAATTTTGCAAGAAAAAAGTCATCTGAAAAAATTTCAAAGAAATTGATACGCAATGATGAGAAAGTATCAATAGACAAAGAATCCTACATTTTAGAAGACTCTGCTTTCCAAAATCCCAAAATCATTCAAAGTTCAAATCATGAAGAAGCATCTACATTTTTGCCAGTATATGAAATACAATCATTGCAACTACCTCTTCATAGTTTGGAAACTAACTCTAGTTTTGACCCAATTTCAGAAAGCTTTACAGCTACATCACCAGAGAAAATGAACGTAACAAAATCACAGAAAGAATTTATAGCTGAAAAGAAAATACAAAATCATAGAGAAAATCCTAGATTAGAAAACAATCATATTCCTCTGAAGGATGATTTTACTGGACTTTTAAACAGAACTAGGCGAAACATTGTGCCTCCTGGGTGGTATTCTGTATATGTAACAAATAATTTTGTGTTTAAAAAATCTCCCAAGGCCAAGAAGTCTACAGAAAAGGATACCACGAAAGACCTTCAGGTTGATAGATCAAACAACATAGACATAAATGAAATCGCAAGGAATACAAATTTACAAGTTGTTGTGGAACGTCTAGAAGATACTATAAATATGGCCAAAAATACATTGGATAATCAGCCATTATCAGAAGGATACAAAATATCCAGGAAGTTAAAAGAAGATGTTCATTGTAAAGACCAAAATGCTACTAGAAATTTGAATCTTTGTGTGAGTGAAACATGTAAAGAACAGAGTTTCTTATCACATTCTAAAGTAACATCCAGCAATAGTAATAAAAGCAATTGTCTTGTGACAGTAGAACATGCAGATGTAATGGATAAAAGACTTGATAACCTCAAAAAAAATCACTTAGATTTGGGTAGTTTGACTTCACAGACAAGGTCTGAAGTTGTAGAAAATTCTTTTTCCAGTTACTCTAGTCCTATCAAACTCATGTTTCTTTCAGAGGTTAATAGTAGTGAAGGAGTCAAATATACTTTAACATCTGTCAGTACTTCCAATGCAAACCTCTGTTCTTTTGAAAAATGCCCAACTAGCCCTTCAGTAGGAAAAGAAACAGAAAAAAACAAGGGTCTCCCAGGCACATATTTTGGTGATTACAGTTGTAATACAGAAAATGACACTTCACAAGGAGAACAAAAAAGATCTAGTTGTGTAAAAGAACCTATAGAACCCTGTTCAGCAAATGTAACTGATATGAATATTTGTAAGCAGCAGGAAGAATGTATAGATAAATCAAACAGTGCTAGTGAATCATCTTTAAAAAGAAAACCAGGTAGGCCTAAAAAAATAGGTCCTCAAGTTGTAAAACAGGTTAAGCGACCAATTGGAAGACCACCAAAACCTAAAGTTGATAAGATAGAAAGTACTATATGCCGAAGTGAGCACATCAGTGTTGGGAAGAAAAACACAGAATCTCTGGTGTCAGGCTTAAATGAGGGTATTAGTAGAAAAAGTATCACAGTGACTGTTGTTTATGGAAGGTCAAGAAGAATTAAAAGGCATGTGTCAGAAGGTAGCCTAGGCAATGCTATACCTTTAAGTAATAGTAATGCTGATTTTTTGCATGAATATAATGGGCTGAAACATAAGAAAACAGCAGATATTGGTTTGGATGAAAGAATGACTGCCATACCAAGTTTGACTACTGAAAAGGATATCTTTGTATCTGGCTATGAACACATTAGGCCTACCAAGAACAAATCTGTGTTACCTTACCCTTACAGCAATATTATTCGGACAAGCCAAAAGCCTTTGACAGTAATTAGGAAACCTGGTAGACCTGCAAAAGTTAAAATCTCTGGCATATCTGTGACTGTTAATAGAGTTTCACCTCAAGAAAGAAAAGTATGTATAAGCAGCTGCTTGCCTCCTTTAGATCAAGACAGTATGCTAGAAAAAAACCTATCAGAAGAGAAGCATGAACACCAGTGCAATAAAGTGGATAAAACAAAAAGCACTCAAGCTGATTTATTTGAGGAGAGATCAAAGAATATGGCTTCTCCAGTACCTTTGAGACATTCTGTTAGAGACAGAAAGCCATCACTGCATTTTTTACATTCCCTAGCATCTTCTAATTCATTTGCTTACAGAAACAACTTGCTGCGTAAATCATATAAACTACATTTCCAAAAAACTAAAGATCAAAAAGAAAAATGCAAATACTCAAATATGAAAATAGCTTCCAAAGATATCTCAGGAGCTAGAAATTTGGGTAATACAAAAAAGAATCCTGATGATGGTAAATTCACAACTATTAATGAAGTATCGTTGGATCCTATTTTTTCATCAAGCCCTTCTCTTAGGTGGTGGGCAACTACTACTTCAAATGATTCCTTGTTAGAGGAGCTAAACAATAGATTTGAGCAGATAACTAATGCTTGGGTGCAAGTGAGTGGAAATGAAACAGAAAATTGTCTTCATGAAGCAAGAGGCCACTTAGAAGAGGATGGTAGTTTTAAAGTGCCAAGCCCTTTGGAAACCTGCCTTTTAGAACTTGAAGTCTCACCCGTAAAAATGCTTTTTCAGAAAAAGTGTGACATGAATGAGCTTTGTACCTGGTTTATGCAAACAACAGAAACACAGTCTCTTTCATTAGTTAGAAAAGCAAATGCTCGAAATCCTTTGGAAGTAATTAATACCAGAGGAATCAAAGTTGGAAGCAAACAATCTGATCATAATACTAGCCTTTTCAGAAAGCACTTTAAAAAATTTGCACTATCCTCTCCTTCAAAATCAGGAGGGAAATTACAGAT